ATATATATATATATATATATATATATATATATATATATATATATATTGGAGCAGGAAGGACGCCAACGGTCGGGTGAGAATGACCGGATAAATAATTCACATGTGAATTAGAAAACTCCATATTGTATTACTCTCAGTGAACTACTATTAATTTTCTTCTCTCCAGAGAACTATTCGAGTTGTACCTACATTCAACGAAAAACTTGGTGTTTTTCAACAAAATAGGGATTTTCAGCAGCTATGTATGTGTGTGTTAGTGCCTCCACGATGGCTGGTTTTCAAATAAAGCGGAAACACCTGGCGAATACTTTTACTTCCTTTTATTGAGTATACGAAGATACAGTTATTCAGGAAGGGTGAAGCGGTCAATTAAAGGCTCGCCATACAACACACATGACGGGGAAAGACTGGCAGTGGTGGTGGGATTCGAACACACGTCCTCCGGGTTGATAATTTGGTGACCTTTACCACTGGGCCATCAAGGCCCAGTCACTCGCCACCGGGTGGGCTCGAATCACCAAACTTTCGGTTAACAAACGAACGCGCTAGCCGATTGCGTCACGAATTCCCGAATTTATAAGCGCAGCTTCCACATGGAGTGCTATAAGTTTTAGTGCGGAACCACCGTGCGTAACTGTATATATTTCAGCGCGTACAATATGCATCGTACTACTTGGAAAAGTCCTTTATCGCAGTTGCATGCCGCGGGGGACCAAGACTAGATAACTTTGTAAATTTCCAACGCACTTTTGTTTAGTGTATTAACTCAAAGGTTACCGATATCATTAAGCTCACGAAAATATAATTGAGAGGGCAGTGGGGAGGCGAAATATTTATTCTGTGCTACTTTCTGAAAGTCCTTCATTTCGGGTGCCCACCCCGTACCCGCGGGCTCATCCATGGGGATCGAACAAATTGGTCCGTTCTGACTATAATCACTCCACGGAGAGTATTGTCATATATATAAATAGATAAAAGAACAAATTCAATCAATCATGTAATAAAAAGCAAACTATGAAAATAAAACATACCTGACAGGCGAAACGAATCATGAGATTCAGCCATTGATCCCTATGCACCTTGCTCATCGGTGTACTTTCGGATGGAAGTTGCTGAGTGTGTGGTGATTCAACGGGAAAAAGGAAGTTGTAGGAAACGTTAAGTCAAGAAACGCTTTATGCACCCAAAAGGTGAATTTTCAGCAATATAACAAAACTGAATGGTGGATATATGAAACACATTGTGATCAACAAAAAAATTTAACAAATTCCATACTGAGAACGAAATTAATGCAAAATTCCCTCCCTAAGTTGGATGGCAATTGTCTTATGATTGACTAATAGCCCAGCAAGATATGCAACTTCACTATTTCTAAATGTGGCAGTACGCGCAGGAAGGAGTGGATATTTGGAGCGAGTTTGGAGACTTAATACAGCCTTCAGGATTTCCGGGATAGACAGTTCCCTTGATCACATTTAATCCTGTCGATAAAGGTATCACAAGCGCCGAGATGCTTGGAAATAGAGAAATGAACCCAAAGAACTCTATCAATTTCACTGTAACGGGACAAAAGTTTAAGGGATCTAGAAAACAAAGTGAAATATTTTTCTTTCAGACTAAGGATAAATATTAGGGAGGAGTATAATCAGTGTGGCAGGATGCAGGCAATCGCGAATTTAAGAATCAGATTATGTAGAACGGCCAGGTTCCTAAGTCTATAGACAGTTATCGAACTTTTGTAAAAACCCTGGAAACATGAGCAGACCGGGACAGATTATGTTTGAGGGTGACACCCAGGTATTTAACACAAACAGATTTGTGGATGCTTATATTATTAGTTACAAGATCACGGAGATTACATACCAGCGAAAGATAACGCGGTTCGTTTTAAGACTAAATGCAACGAAATACACTTATTGATATTAGGTATAAGGGATCAGGGCACAAAGCAATTGTGAAGTTCGTTCCGGCTGTCCTGTAAAGACCGAGAACTATGGTCTAGGGGAACGGCAACCAAACAAAATATCATTAGCGAACTTGTAAGTGATGAAGTTATGGGGATTGGCGAGATTCTGTAAGTACACAGAAAAAAAGAAAAACAAAACAGTACCCTGGAGGTTCAAAAAGGTACGTCCAGTTGTGAATTCCATCCAAGCTCCACAGATTCTACGATGATAGCAAAAATGAAATTAACGGTTTGGCGATAAACAAAGAAACAACAAACCCACATTGTGTTCAAAACTGTATGATCTTCGCCCTCGGACTTCCGCGGTTGTAACCATCCATGTGTATCACACAGCACAAAAACGCACATGATGAAACCTAACCAGATTCCTCAATCCACTGGTTCAATGTTATACATAGGCGACCGATGACAGCTAAGAACGGAATTCCTTTCGAAGTGTTAGTCTTCTACATTGCCTGCTCAAATCCAAACCAACGAAGAAAGTCGATCAAATGATTAGGGTTGTCAACCCAAGGACCTGAAGCTGATGTGGCTAACTCCCACCGCTGTGAGCACTTCTGAATTTTAAGAGTCACCTTAGATATTAAACGGGCGAGCCGTTGGTTCTGGGATTCCAATTTTGGTCAAATACATTCGATAACCATAGGGCAGCTCATTTGATCGCGCTGGACCTTTAGAAGACATTCTTCTTCAGGTTTGTTTACCTGATATTTTATCACGAGTCTCTAGACAACTCCGTGCTCGAATACGTATTCAATCATGCGACGGGACTTCGCATTCTGCAGTATCAATCCTTAACCCAAATCTACCCGGTTGACCAAAAACCGGTATTTAACCTGCCTCGTACATAACTGTCGTTCGCTAGTTTCCATCAGTAACATCACGACTGCACATTGCCGTGGCTTGCGTGCCTCCACGACCCTACGAGCTACAAAGGATCGCTTTTCACAACCGTAGATCCAATTCACAACCGCCCCTGGAGA